GATGTCAGCCTTAGGGCGTCATCTCCTTGACTAGGTGACTCCCATCAAAATCTAGAACCGCAAGGGAGGAATTCATGTTTTAACACTGGTAGCTGTAAAACCAGCTTGTGCTAAAGATAGCACAAGATCGAGGGGTTGGGGGAGATCACAGGAGACAGAGGTCTTAACAACAAATGGGAAAGTGGCTAAAGTCGGAAAAAAATATGCCTTATCAACTGATGAGGCTAAAAAAATTGCAGTCATTTGACAGCTGTAAGTGATGTGTCTCTAATTAATGGAAATTTTGATCATTGAGAAATCCTAACTCCTGCAGGCTTGAGAGAGAGTAATTAAGGGACAAGCTCAGCAGTTAATAAATGCCCCATGGGATTTCAGGTTCACAGTAGACCCACAAGATGCAGTCCTTTGACAAAGGGCCTAAGAGGTATTAAGCTAATCCTCATCTGTTTTGCAGTAGCTTATCAATCATAATACTGGGCTGGGCCCTGTGCGCATGTCATAAACAGATGGTCACTTACACATTTCCAATATTCTGTGTTTTCCACTGAGCCGATCTTCCCACTTTCTCAAGAAATATAAGGGATGTTAAATAACCCTTACTAAACTCACACACTGGTGGCGGGTAGCTGCACAGGAAAGATCACCTGACACTAAAACAAGGCCGCTTCTGGAATGAAACACATTAAAGCCGTTGAACAGCACCAGTCAATATTGTATTTCTCTTTTATAAACAATTAAAATGCATGCCCGCTGCTGCCAGGATAGAGATCTAATGAGAACATTTGCTTTCTTAATGGATAATCTCTAATCAGGCTTCACTTGCACTGCATGTTGCCTCGCAGGAAGAAAGGCAGGAAGAAAAATTTGTTGGGATATGGTGAAAAGGTCACAGTAATCATATTTGCTACTGCATCGATATGTAAGATTGCCCTGTGCTTCGCTCTCCTCCCTCAAGACAATGAAGCTTTCTCAGTCACGGAGTGAATTATAAGTAGCATCCAAACCTAAGGAAAATGTTTCTAGTGGTATAGATCTGTCTGAAGGAGGAAAGGTGCTTTAGAAAAGGATCCTTTTTTTTTTTTTTTTGTGCTTTAAACACATCTACCTATACAGAATATGAAGAGTAGCAAGGCATGAATATAACAGACACACCGGACCTGGACTGTATGTGCACAGACATGTGAAGTTGGATTCTGCTTGTGTGGCCTATGAGCAGCCTAACCAGTGATATAACCACGTGGTGAGGAGGAGGGTAGACAAGGTCACAGCTCTGAATGAGGAAAGCACTTGGCTGAATGCTTAAATACCAGTGGGATTTAAATGCATGCCTAAGTGTTTGCCTTAACTACAATTTAACTAGCTGAAATATTACAAAATATTCTATCGAATCAAGGTGGGAGACATAACAGTCTTAAAATCCTGTGCAGGCCTAACACCATTCTGTCAGTGCTCCGAGTAGTGCTCATGGCTCACGTTTGGGGGAACGTTTTGAGAGCTGAGAAACGGCACCCATGGGGCAGTGGGTCACTGCTAGCCTGAGGCAGAAGCAAGAGGACCTGATGTGAAATAATCGCCATTTTAACTGTATTCGTGGCATAATTGCTTGTAATTATGTCACAAAACTGCAAGGAAAGTCACGATGGCACTGAGAGTGGATGTCCTTTAAAGTCCTTCATAGATTCATATTAATCTTTTCCATACTTTCTTAAAAGGAGACCAATTAGCATGAGATTCCCAGGCTGCCGAAGTCGTGCCATACTGCTTAATACAGTAGCAACTGACCAAAAAAAAAAAACGGCCTGGGGGGACAGGCTGGACTGACAGGGCTAATGGCTCGCTGGGCCACTAAAAATGTCAAGGGAGAAAACGGAGCAATGGGTTAGGTTAGTGGTCTGTAACTGCTTGCAGGGTTTAGAGAACCTATATTTAATTGGTAGCTTCACCCCTCAGCTTCACCCAGTCTTTGGAGAAAATTTGTAATTGGGAGGGAAGGAGGACTTTAAAACTTGTTATCAGCCTATCTTCTTGGATCTGGAAGGGAAGGGCAAAGCCAGACTCAACGGTGTGTCGCTTCATGAAATCATACCAGGTTAGCTCCGTTACGCTAAGTGTAGTATGTCAAGCTGTCAGCCAAGTTTGTCACTAAAACTCCCTGATATACTGCAACTCTTCCAAGCTGCTAACAACAAAAAAAGGAAATTAAAAGAAGGACCTAATATGCTTTATTTATTGTTTTCCCACTATCACATATTTCTTCCAAGACAGGGAAGAGAGCTTTTTTTCCCCAGCACCTTGTTATAAGTGGCAGGCCATAAATTCTGTCAGAAAAGTTTAAATATAAAAAGCAGCCAAGCAAGTCTCTTATTTTCAGAAAAGCATTAGTAGATTTGAAAAAAATGAACTGGGAATTCTTTATCCTCAAGGTCTAAGCCACACGAGAGTGTTCCTTTAAAAAAAATAAATGCGCCTGATCATAAATCTTGTATCACTTTAAACCTATTCATTTAAAAATATCTTAGCTGAAGGCTGTGGATGGCAGAGTGATAGAGTTATTCAGACTGAAAAATAATAACTTGCTTTTCAATCATAATCTTAGAACATTAATGGGGGTCTGAATGGCCTGTTTGTAACCTGATGATGACATACATAAATGAAACACCTTTGGAAGAACGAAGACACTTTATTATAAGAGTCTCTATGAGCTCCCAGGGCCAGGTTGTTTAAAACAAGGTTGTTTTTCTTAATTACTGCTTAGCAACACAACATGTTACTGCAGAGTGTGTAACAGAGCAAGCTTTCCAAAAGCAAGCCCTGGTTTTAGAGCACTCCACTGCAGTCACTTTAAAAGGGACTGTTCCTCCTTTCCCAGAGGCTCAATGCTCTGAATGTTACGAGAGAAACTCATGGAGGAGAGAGACAGTCCAGAAAAAATGCTGGAAAACAGCAAAAATAATTGCTGTGTTTAAAGGAAGGAAAAGAAGAATCCAGGGAGTTACAGGCCAGCCAGTTTAACTTCTGTTGCCTGGCATAAATTATCTATTTGTAAGCAGATGGTAGGAAAAGAGTAAGAGCTAGTATAAATCTATCAAGAACTGGTCTTTTTAATCTAACGAATTTTCTTCTCTAACAGTGTAACAGGCCTTGTTGGTGAGGGAAGGGATCTGCCACCTCAAGTTTAGTAAGCCTTTGTCTGGTATGGCGTTTTCATAAACAAGCTGAGGCAAAAGCGAGGTGGCATTTACTCTACAACAGCTGAAAGTGCAAAACTGTCCTATCAACAGCTTTTGCTAGTGTTCTCTGATACTGAATGACTATCAAAATGCGGGGGGACGGGTTTCTACAAGGGTCTGTCCATGATCCGGGTCTCCTTTATGAATGCTTTTTTGTGAGTGCATTTGCTAGATTTGCAAGCATCTGCAATTTGGGTAAGGCAACAAGCGCGGTTGGGGACAAACTGCAGAAACACTCTGGAAAACAAAAACAAATACAATTCCATATGGGCACAGCCCCAGATGTAGGCTGGACTGTATCATGGCAGGATTACCTGTGTTACCCGGTATAGACAAGGTTAATATCACACTTCCTAACAGGGTGCACGAACAGCAGTATTGCCTTCAAGGCGTATGAAACAGTTTGTCTGCCCAACTCAGCATGGGTAAGGTGAAATATCACATCTAGTGTTGGGCATCATGCTTTAAGATACAGAGCAGTTGCAGAGAGCCTTGGAGAAAGCAACAGTAATGGTGAGAGCTTTAGAAAACTTGACCCCTGTGGAAAGGCTAAATGAATTGAGGTCTCTTCTAGCCTATAATAATATCAAAATATATCACTTCTGAAGCAGAGCTTTTGCAAGCAATACCACTCATTTCAGATTGACCTTGCCGTGCAGCACTGTGTAAAAGCTCACCAGGGGCTGCACAGAGTGGTGGTGTGGGGAAAGAGGTATTTATCTGCTCAAAGATTTTCAGATAACTTTCTGCTTTTGCAGAAGAAATGGCCATGAGGCCAAGGCAGAGGTGGTGGCAATGCCACCCCACAGCTGCTGGGCACGGGGGCCGCCTGCAGCAGTTCACGTGCTCCCCTCAGCAACCCCCTACCAGGCACCCCTGGGGGCTCTGCAGGGGCAGCCCCCTCACCCACACGCTGCCCATGAAGTGCACATGTGGAAATGCCTTCATTGCACCCATTTTCTTTTGCAAGCAACCTGCAAACCAAGCAGCTGGCAGTAATAAAAGCCATACAAACAATAGCATTAATCACAGGGAAGACATAGCAGAATAAATATATGCGCTTCATTTATTGCAATTTAAAGGAATGGGTTTTTTGGGGGGAGGGGGCAGGGGGAATGTGCTACTAATGCATCACTGTTTAAACCGTGAGTTCTTCATTAAAAAGACTTACTTCATCCTTCATTTTTAAGACACCTTTCTCGTGCCCGCAGGTGCAAGCAAAGGTTTCAGCACCAAGGCACTGGCTCTGTTGCTGACAAACGCACTCTAGTGTTGTCTTTCTGGTCAAGTTTTGTTATAAATTGAACTTTCTTGGCTCTAATTTTGAAATAATTTTCATTTTGAAGTCAGGAATTATTTTATTGGTATCAGGAGCTGGAGGATATGGCAGCATGACGATGTTAGTGTTCCCCTATTCACTAATCATTACTTTTGCGATTTTGGTTTTTCATTTTGAAGATCTAGCACCTGGAGCCATGTCATTACGTAAGAATCTCGTTTTTTAAAAAAATGGAAAAGAAAAGAAAAGGAAAAGCAAGTTTCTCACAGACAAAGACTTGAAGTGTTCCTTACAATCTCGGAAAAAAGAAGGCAAGTAAAAATAACTCATTGTTTAATACCTTCATATTTAATATATTTTGTAGTCGTCATTTACGAGCTAATTGTACGAATTTTTATTTTGGTGGTCTGGATTACTGTTCCTAAACCACTGTGCTCAGTAGAACTGCAATTTTTGTTGTGAAAGAAAAAAATAAATGTGCTACTCCCAGATTATTGGAAAAAAGAACCCTGTCTCTTATTTATTTATTTATTTAGAAAGCACATACAGCAATGCATGGAGAGGGGAAGAGAGATGCAAAACAGGTGAGCATACAAATCCATTTCAAAAGAAATAGTGAGACACTTCCCAGATGATTAGTAGTACATCAGTCTATGTGAGCATTTAAACTGTTGTACCTCTAGATTAAAAAAAGAAACCACAGAGAATTTCTGAAGAACAAGGTAAATGTCAATATTTCAGAAATCCCCCCACAATCAACTTGTAGGCAGCAATGTTTTTGTTTTGTTTTTGTTCCTGATATTTCCTCAAAGGGGTCTTTCTTGCTCAAGCTATGGTTTCTTTCCTCAGCGTCCTCCTCTGGTGACAAGTAAGGATACTTGTGAATGATGATCTCCCCTTCGTTCTCGACCTTTTCTTTAACTTCTTCTGATGCTTGAGTGAAATTCCAAGCTCCTCCATTATAGCATTGAAAGAAAGACACTGGTGGAACACGGAAATTGCATTAAACACCTTCCTGGGAGAGTTCAGCCATACCCTCTGCACAAACTGTGGCTTTTATATTAAACAAGGACCTGAAATCTTAATGTCAAGGTTAGGAGGCTTTCCTGTTGAATTTTGCCAGCTTTGAATCAACCCCCTAATGTATAGCAGGTGGAGTTTGCAAAAGTGGTTTCGCCTAACTTAGCTCCCACTGAAATCATTTTAACCTTAGCTTAACTAAAGCTGATTATGAATCTTTCCGAAACTCTATCCAAACACATTTTTGATGTGGCTTTGATTTGGGGTGGCTTCAAATCATAAAATGTACCCTTGTTCGGTAGGTAAAGCTCTTCCTGATCTTCAAACAAAAACAATCTTCATTTCTAAACCTTGTGTAACTTATCTAAAAAATTGCTAATACTAAAGAAAACAAAACCATTCTTGAAGATTTCTTTGTGCTATAGTTATTTTCCCCTCATGAAATTAATAGGCATCTCTAAAATATAGCACAGTCCTCAGTGCTTGTCCGTTTTAGAAAGGCTTTTTTTCAAATATTGTGTGTCTAAGAAAGGAGAGAAATTACCACAAGAATGAGGTAGCTGAATAGCTTAAAAAGAAAGCAGAAATCTTTTTTTTTTTTTTTCTTCAGTGAACACAACATTAACAAAGACATTTCAGGTAAGTGGAAAAATCCTTTAAAATCTACAGCTATAATAATTACACGTAACACAAAAAAACCACAAAGAGGCTTTAAGTGGAAGTATCTAGCAATGGAAAAAATATTCCTTACAAATATATAAAAATAGATTATTTATATATAAAATGAAGTGAGAGTAACAGTGTGAAACACAGCTTTAAACTACCTTACCTTAATCAGGTTGAATAAGCCCTTCCTACCAGACTCTTTCTAGAATTCCAAAACTTACCATTTTTGAAACAACAGGTTAAAATAACAGTCTTTTAAAATGATAGCAACAGCACAGACATGTTTCTTTATATCAAATACAAATGTCTTTCTAGAATATGCCAATGCAAGATGAGCAGTACCCAGTTCTTAGCAAGTCAATTGTGATCTCAGAGTGATACAAGGCTAAAAAAAAGTAAAACTGGATATGTTATTGGAAGAGGAGAAAATTCAAGTCTTCCTGTCAGCCAGCTATTCCAGAGAAATATTTTCAAATGCAGGAGCCAGCATGAGGGTAACCTGGATTAAGGTTAAATCATCTGTTTAAAGTAGAAAATGAATTCCAGAGTATTGGATTGCGCACTTTGTACTTCTTCCTATCCAGCATAAAACCTCTCTATGAAGTACTTAGCCCTGATTCTGCAAATGAGCTCAAGAGATCAGGGAATATGTGTATGTGCATTTTAAACGTAGATTGTCTTGCATGTGTCATCATGTCCATCTGTGGGGTGAGCTGAACGTAGAGTGGGATCCTATAATATGTTAAATGTATAGTTTAATATGCTCTTTCTTTGAGAGGCTTAATTTTTGTTTCCTATGAGACACTGAAAGTCTTAAGCATATAAAAATTAAATTACACTTAATTCTTGGCAGACCAAAAATGCAATAGATATAGACCAGAACAGTGTACTTTTTTTTCTTTCAATTACTGTCTAGTAATAGCCAGGACTTCACTGGTGCAATTATCATTTAAATAGACCCTCTGACAATGTAATGTAGGAATTGTAGTGTTACTGGAGTGAGAATCAATGGTCTCTGCTGGAGCTCCACACCCTCTGGCAGCAGCAGGTGAGGCAGGTATCATCCTAATACAGTAGTTATTTCCATATTGCTTGAGCAAGGCTTTTTTTAGAGCATAGCAGCACGTATTTCCAAACTAATGAAAGTATATGCTCTAACTGGCTGACTTAGCATGGATAATTTCCCTCTACTATCTTAGTTTTAACTGAGCTTTTAAAATCTAGATTACAAAGTGATTCCCGAACTCCATGGCAAATAAGGATGGGACCATATTAACCATTTATAGACTTGGTCAAGCTTATTTTTACTTTCTTTCCTCATTGTTCTTACTAGCCTATATGTTGTGTATGTGTTTAATAAAAGCCATCAATCTCTGCAGCGTGGAAGTAGAGATGACTTCTGCAGATGAAACAGTACATTCTACTGCCTTGTTAATATGCTTGCATTTGAATTTTCTAAACTGATTCATATTATTCAGACTGAGAAGTTATCATTATGTCCTCTTAACTTCATACGAACAGAATAGTCCCATGAGGATCATCTTACATATATCTTACATCATATTTGAAATACATTGCTGACATTCAGTATGTGTAGTTTTTAACATCTAACTACTTGATTTGTGAAGTGCTCAACTGGTTCCACTTCCAAGGCTGTTTTGACTTTTTTTGTCATTAGTTTCTAGATGTAAGCTGTTTTTAAAGAAATATTACCAGCAATACTTCAAGCTATTCTTAGGAATGGCTTTGTTGTCTAGATCTAGTCTTTCAGACGTAAACTTTTGCCTAACTGTTCATCAAGATCATTTACATGTAAAACTGAATATAAAACCATTACTGCTTCTGTTCATGGGCTTTCCTGTAAAATGATCGTGTTTATTCACCCAGGAAAGTATATATGGAGATATATATTTCCAATTTAAAATGTAAAAGGTCTCTGCCTCATAGAAGCTATCTATTATCCCAACCTGTCAACGCAAAGCCCCAGTGGGCTGATCTGTGGGAAAGAGAGGTCAAAACACACACACTCAGAACCTGTGAGAATGGGCTCTACCATCACACAAAAACAACGGTTGGGGAGAGCGAAAGGAGGAGAGTTTACAATGATAATATCCCAAGTCCTACAGCTCCAGTTTCTGGCTTTATACAAGCGTGAAAGCAGTTTGACTTCTAGGGTTATGTTACACTTGCATTTTGAGGAAAATAAACCACCATGGGCATGAGTTTCACCAACCTGAAGCAATGAATTACGTGTAGAGTTAAGACCTTAGACCGACCCTTTAAAGATTTTCTAAAGGCTATGGATGTAACTACAACTCTGATTATACATTTTATGCGTATTCCTACATCTAATACTTTGGAGAAAACCAGTTGGAGGTAACAAAGGGCATTAAAATCCTGAGAGATACAGGATTTTCTCTGTCTGTGTCTCTGCCTTCACATAGATTTTCAGATAATCTAAAAGTGCAGTCCGAGAAGATACTTCGAACATTCAGAGGTTTGGTTAATCACTCAGAACAGCAGTTACACATGAACTTTCTTATGAGCCCTAGGAAACATAGTGCAAAATCCCATAGTGCAAAATCCAGTTTATCTCTAAGCTTATGCGTACACCATACTTCACTGGTTCAGAAGTGACTAACAACAGAAAACATTTCAGCAAACTCTCTCATTCCAGTGTGAGCCGTGCAAAGTGGGATCAGGAAACTGAACACAGTCAAAAACTGGAACTGCCCTGAAATTTTCAAGAAGTAGAAAACTGTCAGCAATTCAGAGCAAGGCCAAACTCAGTCAGAATACCAACTTACTTAGGGCTTACAGGAAAAGTGATGGACAAGAAATATGTTGCGGGAGCTCCCAAAACACCATTTTGAACAGTAACGTGTGTGGAGCAGAATTATAATATCTTTTACAAAAGGTATTGTAAAATTAAAATTTCATTTTAAAGGGTAATATACTGTTCTGTTAATATCGTAATCATAACCAAACTGAAAAGATTTCCCTAAAAAGCTTTTTTTTTTACATGCTGTTAAGTCCGCTTTTGAGAGATCACTGGGAACGTAACCTAAGAACAGAGCATACATTTAGCATTGTGCTTTTAATCAGCCCACTTTCTCCTTTTAGCAGTGTTGAAATGCTGCAGTATGTGGCCTGTGAGGCTAAAAGGGAATGTCATCCTTTAAAAATATAATAGGTTTGGGTCTGCTTGGAATTGGAAACTCTTCTCTTTGCCCTTTGGTCATTTCAGCAGGCCTTAAAAGCTTGCTCATGAAACTCAAATCCTTCCTTACGTTCCCATACAGCAGACCATGTTAAGCTTTAGGATAGTTATAGATTTAGAATGTGAAAAATGGCAAAAATAATATAAAATAGAGACAAGACTGAAAAGGAATCCGTAGTCAGGCTTTAACAGCCTGTTGCTCATGTTGCCAGGCTACCTTTGAGGACAAGAATTTCAATTGCATTTTATTAACACCTAGCAAAAAACAAACAATCAAAAAAAATAAGCCAGTGTGCTGCATTGGACCTGAGAACAATGAAAATCAGCGAATATGGGACTGATTTCTTCTGGCAGAATACCTAACTAGCTCAGGCGCAGACAAGGAAGTGCAGAAATCAGGATTTTTCCTCTGCCGTGCTCTCATTACTGTAATAGGACCCATAGTTGGGACACTGACATATGCCTTCTGCTGAGAGCAAAGTGATTTGTTTGTGCCTAGCATGCTGAAGATAAAAGGTCCAGAATAGTTTCTCCAAGGAAGGAAACTGCTGTTGCAACACATTAAGAATCTGTTTGTGTATTCTGTCAAACAGAACAGATATCAATGGATATCAAACTGTGTCTGAGGAAATCGCTAATTGAAGCATTTTAAACTGTCAGAGTCTATTGAACAACTGAACAGTGAGTGCCAAAAGAGTATCACAGCAATTCATGTTTCCTGTTCCTCAGTTTCCTGTTTACAGGGAAAAAAACCCAGTAAATTTACTTGCCAGCCTCGGAAACCATCTAAGCACTAATGAGACTGCTCAGTGAAGGCATAAATGGCCAGAGTCGTGTTTGGAGGTGGGGTTATGGCCTGCAATGAATGGCCTCAATTTGATGTTCGGAAAAGCAGGGAAATTTGCAGGCCTGACAACGTCCTGAAAAATCATTTTTTTGCAAGAACCTCACTGAGATAGGGTACTTCTTTCCTCCTCCCCCTTCTCCTCCTCTTTTGTTCGCAAAGAACTAAAGGTGTGAGCACTTACTATTCAAGGCTTTGATCGGAGGGTGATGACACAAGCACACAATACCA